TGTCTTGAGGCGCTGAAGGAGGATTGTAGAATTGGAAATAAACTTCATGTCATCCACTACTACCACGATGATGATGAATTGAGTCCCTTCACGTTTAAAGAAAACTCGGTGATCAATGACGGACTGGGTGAATCCCCAGTTCGTGAGTGTACTCGAAAGCAGCGAGTCCCATAAATTTCCGGCTTGTTTAAGGCCATACATTGCCTTCTTTAGTAGACAAACCGAACCAGGCTTTTCTTTCACACAGCTTGAATCGGTAGGTTGATGCATGAGTACCTCCGTGTCGACATCGCCATATAAATAGGCGTTGCTAACATCCCCTCCTTCGACATGGAGGTTCTCAGCTGAAGATACGGCGAACAGGAGACGTATAGCGTCATGTGAAGCGACTGGGGCGTACCTCGCCTCTGGGTCGTAGTCGAAATGTGGCGATTGTATGTCGCCGCGCACACAACATCGTGCTTTGTGAAGGTAATTAGACCCATTGTTGTCCAGCGGTTTAAGACGGAAAACCCATGTGAACGGTAAGGGCTGCATGCTTTGGTTCTGTGTGACATAAGTCCACGTGTTACGGCGAACTAGGGCGCGATATTCGCGATCGATGGCGTCACGCCATGGCTCCTGTTGAACAGCTTCCTCGAAGGAGCCAGGTATTCCAGCGTCGCATTTCTTGCCTCTCCTCTGTGAGGCATAAGAATGCGAAAGTGAATACCGAAATACAGAAAAGGCTTTGCTGAGGATTTCCTCGGCCTGACTGTCGACGTTGCTGCGAGATTCTAGTTGAGCTTGTCTAGAAATTCCGTCGAGGAGTGCTGTGACTCCGGGTAGTTTTTCCTCTTTGCAGGGGCGGAAGTCCTGCTTCCGCGTGAAGATGATTTGTTTTGTAGAAGGAACATATATGCGGAACACACTTGTCTCGCTCTAAAGTCCGGCGAAATATCCGTGTACACTTCTGGGGGTAACCTTTTTATCTGCCGCAGTATCTGAGCGATACACGAAAGCGAAGCCGGGTTCTCCAAACACTGGGATGGTGGCGAAATTAACACGTGAATTGGGGTCCCATGCGTGTATGGGGATGTCGCCGTTTAAGCGTTCTGAAGGTAGTCGATTGCGTAACCAGTTTGCGTGATGCATTGCCTCTCCCCACAAATTTTTGTCCATCTTGCTTGCAAACAGTAGTACGCGGCATCGAGCACCAAGCTCTTGTATGAGGCGCTCGGCAATTCCATTACTTTGATGGGCATAAGCGGGAGAATAATCGAGGCGGATACCGTTGCTGTAACAGAAGCGCTGCAGTTCATCACTGCAATTTTCTCCGGCTCGATCCAACCTGATACTCAGAAGTCTGAAACCTGTAACATTTTCTGCTCGTGCTTTGTAACGTTGAAGGTTGACGAGCAGCTCAGACTTTGCTTTCAGAAAGAATATGTCTGACTTTGCGCAATAATCGTCCATGATTGCTAGTGCGTAGCGACTTCCACCGGTTGAGATTGTCGACATGGGTCCGGTTATGTCCAGATGTATGAGTTCCAGTGGGCGCCTGGTAATGTAGAGACTTGGCGTTACGGGACTTCTCTTTGTTTTACCAGTGGCACAAGCGACACAGAAGAGATTGTTCAGGATGCTGTTGGAAAAAGGTGGCACATCTTCAAATATCTCTGCCAATCTTTTGTATCGCTTCGGATTGGGATGCCCTGTTCGATAATGCCAATACATTGCCATCTCATTTTCGGTTTTGCAGCAGAGTAAGGTCCGACGGAATAGCAGTTGGCGCAAAGGGATTCATACTCGGCATAGTGTAGGCGGGGGAGAGACCTGATTGCCGATGAGGCCGAGAATGTTGGTAGCTTCATCATATACAGGCCATCTTCGATTTCGGTTTCATATATGGTCTTCTCGCTTTTCTTGTCCAAGATGAAGCATGTGCTTATACCGTTTTGCGCACGGGTGCTGCTGGTGAATATGACGTTGTAGTTCTCGGTGAGTAGGCCGACAGAGAGAATGTTCGTTGTAAACTCAGGGGTGTGATAAGCCGGCACAAGCGTTCCTCCGGGAAGCGGTAGCTTCACCATACCCTGGCCAACTATTATGGACGTTCCCGCAGCAGCGGAGACGTCAGTGGTATCCATGCTCTTGTAACTCGTGAAAGAGTTCTTGCTGTGGAAAAAGTTGTGTGTCTCGCCACTGTCAATGATGGCATGTGGGCTCTTTAAATTTCCAATTTGAGCGATGGAGCTCTTGAACTTAAGTTGAGCCATGAATCCAAACGGTGGCTGGCCTTCTTGTCGGTTGCTTGGGTGCGGGTCATGAATGCGGGTGTTCTGAGCAACGTTGGCATTTGGCTCAAACCGGCCTTGCGAGGAATCATATGGGGTATTGGTGTTCGGGAATTGTTGGTTTTCAGTACCCCAGTTCCCTTGCAAATGGTATTGGGGAGAGTGATGGCCACGCCCAAAGCCTCGTCCAAAGCCTCGTCCACGTCCCCCACGAAAACTTCCTCGAGGGTTAAAACGACCACGTCCAACGCTATTATAGGTACTTCGGCCGCGAAAACCGTTATCATTGTCCTTACGAAACCAACACTCTTTCGCATACTGGCCAGTGCGACCACATACGAAACACTTGTTGTTCTTTGCTTTCTTCTTCCCAATATGTCCCTTGTAGTCCATGTGAGCAAGATCGGCTCTTGGTGTAGCAGTTGCGCGCGATGATGATGATTTGATATTGGTGCGACGAGAAAGCTCACCTGCAACAACAACGATTAGCTTATCGTATGAAATTTCACTCGCCTCTGAAAACATTGCCAAAGGAGCAAAAGATTCAGGTAGAGTCTTGATCAACTTGGATGCTTTTTCTTGAGCTGTAACAGGTGCGTCGTAGGAAGCCAGCTTTCCAAGTATTTCATTGAACTTTTCAACGTGCTTCTCCCAATTCTCATTTTCTCTGAAGCGGAGTTGGTCCAGCTCACTTTGAAGATTGATAACGACTTGGGTGTTGGAGGTCGTGTAAAGACTCGACAGAGCATCCCAAAATTCTTTAGCCGTATTTTCATCGTTGTCGACCAAATGGCTGACTTGGGCTAGCGGGCCTGTCCCCAGACTGAGGATGATAGCTGTCTTTGCCTTGATCATTTTCTCGAGCCATTTCTTGCGGACGGCCGCGGAAGTTTCATTGGGTTCTGCAGTAAACCCTAACAGTTCGATGTCGTTCCTGCGGATAAAGGCATAAGTACGACGTCGCCAATGGACGAAGTCTGAAGATCCCGTGAGCTTGAGCAACTTTGTCACAGGGTCTCGCTCATCAGAAATGATGAACGTATTTTTTTGCGAGTTCGTCAGTTCTATTTGGTACTCTTGCGATGCTACCATGCAAGTAAAACTCTGCTCCTCTCTCCCCCTCCTGGGTAAGAGAGTCTCGTGAGCTCTTTTATTGATAACTACAGTAGCGGTAGCATTACATCTGAGTGTCCCTCTTGGACACCGGTCTTGCACCTCCGAGGTGCCTGGTATCCTCATAAGATATTAAATCAAAGTTCTATTCTCGAACAGTAGTAACCCCCACCTGGGGCATTTGTTGGATCCGCACTGGAGAGCCTTCACAATTGGAAGGCTTGTCTGTGCACAAATCAATAATGCGTCTATAGTGCATCGTCTTGTTGTCGCAAAACAGAAAGGCTTACTACCTAATAAGGGGGATCAGAACAGTCGAAACGGCAATAACTACACTGCATTATGACATGATGTGTCCAGATGCGCGTCGTTCTCAGATTTTGCTAGACATCTAGCTCGTGAAGGGGTTGAAAACTCACAGTCTGTTACGGAGCCTAACGACCAGCCATATCGGGATGTCAGTGAATGTTATGTGCCAGTTATAAGGCCGTTTTACGTTAAAAATGCGGCATCTAAGTGTAGTAGGCCAGCTGACAAAGAAAGGAGACTTTGCAGTCCGGAACTGCACACAAAGGCAAAACGAAAAGCTGCGTACTGCTCCTTGTGCTGTTTTAACTATACCTTTGTTTTACAAGGTGTGACATTTAAGAAGAAGGGTGGTTCAAAGGAGATCCAATGGTGTCTGTTATGTAGGCAACCGATATGTTCAAAATGCTGGGACAAGTGGCACACGGACGAAGAGCTGCATCGGGCAACGGTTTCTCCTCACCAAAAAGAAGATTTTAGAGATAAGGCTTTAGCCTCACTGTCAGGGCCATTCCATTCATCGTGATTGGCAACCACGCAATCACGCAATCACGTCAATAAATGGTGCCTGCTCCCTTGTGGTTGGTTGTTTATATTACGTTTCCTAAAAATGGTCATGCTCATTAAAGAAATAAACAATCGACTTAAAATTAATCTTGTGCTCCAACTTTCTGTAATGCTCCTTGCAATTCTAAAAGATTTAAACCCCATTCAAATAAGCAAGAAGTGCGTTAACTCATGCACATGCAAAGCCGTGGAAATGTGCTTACAGCTACAAGTAGAACGCGTTGGAGAAAGGAACGTTGCCGAACGACGTTAAATTAATGTCGTGATCGCGTGATTGCGTGATTGCATGATTGCCAATCACGATGAATGGAATGGCCCTCAGTTGAGTAAACACCTAGTCCGTATGAAATGATAGTGCTCTGGCAGAACTAATAATGTTGTTGCGATCCAAAAAAGACATGAGGACGCGTTTATATGCACAAGTTGGAATTACTACCCTAGCTAGTCCTCAACACCATGTCGTCATGCAGAGTGACGAAGTAGATGTTTTGGGTGATGAGCGTGAAAAGAGTGATCAATTTCGTGGTCTGCGTGATTCTGCAACAAGACGTTCACGCATTGACCGGGTGAACTTCACGTTCACAGAGTGATGTTCACGCAGTAATCGTGATTCACACCCAAAATCACGAAATTTCACGCTCCGCTAGCGTGATCAAAAATCATCACGCAGCTTGCATGGGGCCATGATGATCGACACCGTCGGTGCACCCAACCCTCGTCGTATTCACCCCAACCGCAATGTTCACCCCCGCCTCGGCTCCCTCGCACGCCATCGAGCTCGAGAGCGACTCCATAGTCGGCCGCAGCTCGCCACTTGCCGACCTCCAATACGTCGCGCAGCCAATATCTGAGGGGCATGGCACCGTCCGCCGCCCCCTAGCACACGCCGTCCCCTTCGTGCTCTCCCAGCGCGAAGTCGTCGCCGGCTTAGCGCGCGACGGCGCCACCGTGCTACGCCCTATTGAAAAGGAGGGGAGGGAGAGGAAAAAGGGAAAAGCGCACAGCGATGCCGCGCTCGCGAAGGAGGTGCAAGAGATGGTGCGTGCCATGCTCGGAGAGGGTACGAAGCCTGTCCAGGACGGATCCCTGCCGGAAGAGACGACTGCTTCGGAAGCCGCTCATTCGCTTAATATACATTCGCTTGGTGAGAATGAGCACGCCATATCGCATGGAGCCGAAGCCGCGGAGGACGTGCGGGGAGGGGCCGGGGATGAACGCATTGGGCTAGATGCCTTTCTGTCTCCGGCGGATATATCGCTCAAGCAGAATGTTTTCAACCTATCTACTGTATTCGATCCGCGGAGCTTGAACGACGTCGAGCTTTTCGGCGTTTCAGAGGAAGAGAGCGAAGCCGAAGAAGAGGTGGACAACGGCGCTGTGTCGCGTAAGCTCGCCGCACTAACGGCTAACCAGCAAAGCATGGAGGACGTCAACGAGGAGCTCGACAACCTTCTCGGCCTCCGCTACGAGCCGGGGCGCGTTGCCGCTGGGCGCACCAAGAGGCCCCGCTCGGGAACTAGAAACGCGGTCGACGATAACCCCTGGGCCGCCGAGGACAAGCTCGACGTGTCTGACTTTGCGCAGCTCGTTCCGGATATGGCCATCGAGTACCCGTTCAATTTGGATGTGTTCCAGCGCCGTGCCGTGTTTCGCTTAGAGCGCGACGAGAACGTCTTCGTTGCCGCGCATACATCCGCGGGGAAGACTGTCGTTGCGGAATACGCCATTGCGCTCGCGAGGCAGCGCAACACAAAGGTCGTGTACACGTCGCCCATTAAAACGCTCAGCAACCAGAAGTTTCGCGATTTTACTCAACGCTTCGGCGATGTGGGCATCATCACGGGTGATATCAGCATCAACCCGGAGGCGTCGTGTCTTGTGATGACGACGGAGATTTTGAGGAGCATGTTGTACAAGGGCGCAGACCTTGTTCGCGATTTGAGCCATGTCATTTTCGATGAGTGTCACTGGCTCAACGACCCGGAGCGAGGGGTCGTGTGGGAGGAGGCCATTATTTTGCTCCCGCAACATGTGAATATCGTCATGCTTTCTGCAACAGTGCCAAACGCTATGGAGTTCGCCAAATGGGTCGGCCGCACGAGACAAAAACCCATATACGTGATTCACACTCGGAAGAGACCGGTTCCACTGTCTCATCAGCTGTTCGTCAAGGGGGATGTATACCCATTATTTGATTCATCAGAAGGAAGATTTCTGGACGCAAACTTCAGAAGGGGAGTGAATCACCACAAGGAGAAAACGAAAAACTCCAACATCCGATTCGGTGGGGGCCGAAATCACGCGTGGATGCAGATCATCAAGTATTTGCAGAAGCGAGATCTGGACCCGGCGATATTCTTTTGTTTCAGTAAGCGCAAGTGCGACGAGGCGGCCGAACAGCTTCACACTCAAGACCTCACGGCTGGGGCAACTGACAAGACTCAAATTCATCTCTTTTACCAATCCGCGATTGCCAGGCTTTCTCCAACTGACCGCAACGTCCCGCAGATTGCGCGACATCGGGAGATGCTAAAACGGGGTGTCGGGGTTCATCATGCCGGAGTGCTTCCGATCATCAAGGAAATAACTGAAGTTCTTTTCCAACAAGGTCTCATTCGGGTGCTGTTTGCGACAGAGACGTTTGCCATGGGTGTCAACATGCCTGCACGAACTGTCGTCTTCACAGCCATCCACAAGTACGACAATCAAGGCCATCGCCTTCTCGAACCTGGCGAGTACATCCAGATGGCGGGACGGGCCGGTCGTCGAGGATTGGACGACGTCGGCACTGTGTTGCTATTCCCTACGACAGCTGACTTTCCCGTCCAGAGCGATGTCAAGACCGTCTTAACGGGGGTCCCCAAGCCGCTGCGCTCCCAATTTCGACTTACCTACAACATGATTCTCAACTTGCTCCGCATCGATGAGCTTCGTGTTGAGGATGTGATGGCACGCAGTTTCAGCGAGGCACCGGCAGGGCGCGCATCTGGAACGGTGAAAAAGCTGCTCGTGAAAGGAAATGAACGGTTGAATCAGATGCAGACGATGTCGGTGGGGGTTGAGAGATACAGGTCTCTCTACGAAGTATCCACCAGAATCAATGTGTTGTGTCAGCGCATCAGCGTAACTCTTACCTCCAACGCAAAAAATTCAACGACGGCAGCCTTTGGGGTGGGACGTGTAGTATTGGTACGCGCAAGCGACGAAACATTACGGCTCGGGGTGATTATCAAGGCACCATTTAGTGGACGCGCAAAGGGCGGTCTTTCTTTGAAGAAACCATCTCTGGGCTTGAGAACAGGGTTTCAACCCGGCAAACGGGACTCGGGAAAGATCCAAATCAAAGTTTTAGTTTTGTGCGGAGGACCGGCTGCAAGAAGAGAGGATTGCCCCTTGTTTCAGCACAATATCGACGTCGTTGATTTGAAGAACAAGTCTACGCAGTTCAACGCTGGTGGATTGATTGTTCAAATCCAGGATCTTGACTATACTGGCATTGTAGGGCTCTCGTCTTTGAAGATTGAAGTCGATGAGAAGGGGCTGGTACCGATTCGGGGGGACCCGGATCCAGTTGCTCTGTCGTCTACAGCAGAAGCTCTGCGCACGATTGCGTCAGACGAAGCAAATTGGAATGCGCTGCCACAGTTGCATCCAGTGACTGATCTTGGGCTGCAGAGCTTGGATATCGTCGAGCAATGGGACGAGCGCAAGCGATGCGTTTGGATTCTGAATGAGATGGTTACTGATTTGCTGAAGGGTGGGGCAATGTTTGATTTGGAAAAGGAATTCAAGTTTCTTTCACAAGCGTCCAAGCTGCAAGAAAAACTTGAGCTCTTGAAGATTGCGACGTCAGATGAATCTTTACACTTAATGCCTGACTACAAGCAGCGAATCGAAGTTCTAGGCAAACTAGGATACATCGACGGGACGAGCGTTCGACTGAAAGGACGGGCCGCTTGCGAGGTGAACACATGCGACAGCCTGATTCTAACAGAACTGGTGTTTGAAAAAGTACTCCAAAAGCTGAGCGCGGTAGACCTCGCGGCTATCCTATGCAGCCTAGTATTCCAAGGAAAAGTGGGCGGGAATGAGACGAGCTACACGCAAATCGACAGCGTGAGAGAGCAGAGCGAGGAGTTGTATCAAGGATGTCAATCGATGCTAGGGGTGCTAGCAAGCCTCGGGAGTGCGCAGTCAGACAGCGGGCTGGCGGTCTCTCCCTACGAATTTGCGCGAAGCAGCGCCAATTTCGGTTTTACAATCGGGGTGCGAGGATGGGCAAGTGGCAAGACGTTTGCCGAGATTTGTTCTGTGATCGAAGGTGAAGTACCAGAAGGGACGATTGTGCGAACGATTGTGCGGCTCTGCGAACTGCTGAGGGAAACGAAAAATGTGGGAAGGGTTATTGGAGACCCCGATCTGCAGGCCAAGGCCGAAGAGGCGATGCAACTGGTGCGACGGGATGTGATTTTCGCAGCGAGTTTGTACGTACAGTAGTGTTAAATAGTCGGGAAGCTGAATGATGTTATTCTTCAATGGGGCGCCCTGGTTTTGTTGCCAAGATATCTACAAGTCGTGGACATATTGTGCGTAAGGGTGATTGCGTGATGTTTGGGAGGCAGTGATAGCGCGAGATCGTGGAGATTGCAAGTATCTGTCCCATACAGCACATATGTATATGGTTCTCCTACACAGTACATGTACGGTACCTACTTTTGTGCTAATTTCAAGCTATGGCGCCTCCACAAAATGCACCAACCTAAGCATACGTATACATCCTTGTTGACGTGAGTATAGAACGCCCTGCAAATAAGCCGTATTAACACCCCATCCACGAGCGAAGTGGGTCAATTTTTGAGGACACTTGCAAAATTTCCAAATCCGCTCTTTGTTTATGTGGGCGGAATTTATGCTTGTTGCATAGCTCGTCCAATAGGAATTCCTCCACAATTGGAATTATGTAGAATGAATGGCCAGTTCTCGAGATAGAGCTCATACAGCGACTTCAGTCAGGGCCAATCGGCGTCACACAAAATGTCGGTGTATGGGGTTATTTTGGCCTCTTTGGACTGCGAAGAGGCCCTATTTCCACCATCACAAGATTTCCATTTATTCGTTGGCGTGTGTACATCATCCATAGTGTTAGCACAGCCCCTGAAACCATTCCAACCTTCGCTCCACCGTATCTTTTCCTGGATCCTTTTCAAACAGTCCCTGACATATACCCAAATGTCATCGATTGCACAATCGTGCAAATGCAAAGTAGGTTCATGTTACAGTTGTCCGAGCTTGTGTAGACGGTGTGGTTGCCGCTGTGATGGAGTTCCGGCACATGTGGAGATGAGCCGGAAGAGAGGGGACAAAAGTTTTAAAAACAATGCTGGTCGCTCACTCAGGCCAGCAGCAAAGAAAGGACGAACTAGGTTTCAATCTACGAGTTCTCAACGAGAAGTCACAGAACCTCATGGAGATTTGATGCCAATTTCTACAAGTACAGATATCTGGAAGGCGTTCGGTTGGGAAAGGGGAACCCTAAAAAGCCTGCCTTCAGAAGCACAGCGAATCTCTAACATGCGACTCAATGAGGAAGGCGGGGCTGGGTGGAGCTGTATGGTTCAAACCGTGATGGCAGCTTCTGTGCATATCTCCGAAGTACTTTACCCTGCAGGAAACGCCATTCATCTAGAGGATGTAGCACGAACAATTCTACGTTTAGATTCAGACTTAACAACTGAACGCAAGAGTTTACTTACAGCATTTACTAATGTGTCACGAAAAGCCCCAAAGCGAAGCATTCAGGGAAGGGTTATGCGTGCTGTCCGGGTGAAAGCATTATCAAAAACGCGTTTGGATGCCATTAAAGTTGAAACTGAGCTATCCATAGGAAGACGCACTGTTGATCAGGCGTACACAGATTACAAAAAGATGCAGCGGGGACAGGAAATGGAGAAGAGTAGAATCAACATTATGAGGTTCAATGAAAATGCAGTGGAGGATGCTGTTTAATTTATGCTGCATCCATCCGATGTTGGGACATTGTCAAGGGGTCATAAACAGGTTAAACTCAATGATCAAGAAATTGTTTCCCTGCCTGCATTGCGTCGACTTAGATCAAGGATGGACATGTATGAGGATTACGATCGCTACTGCACAGACACAGAAATTAGCACGATATCAAGGAGTTCATTCTACAATGTCCTTGCACTGGTTACTTGTGGTGAGGAAAAGCTCTTCACTGCGGTGGACTATGTAACAGTTGTGCTTGTAAATGACCAGGTGGCAGTGCTACAGAAAATTGGAGAAGATTTTGCGTCACCTGAGGAGTGGTCAGAGCGACTCACAGATTTCTTAGAATTAGTCCGCAACTTCCTTCGTCATCAGTACGACGCTCATGTGCGAGGGAATTGTGGTACAACTCCACACCGCGACCCCCGGTGGGAGATGAGAACCCCCGAGACGGGCGGTTACTACTGTAGTAATCGTGCACGCGCCCGCTGCGAGCACAGTAGTACCTCCACGGCGTACACGTGACACAACCGTTGGCGCCGGCCGTGGCCACGGGCACACGTGTGCGACCATCCGGTAAGTAATTAGCAATTAGTGGTTAATGGCACAAATTAGCCAATTTAGTACAGTAGCTGGTATACAGTATGTAACAGCTACTGTAGCGGGACAGGTGTCCTGGCGTCCCACTGAGGGGTTAAGACCAGGGGCACCTGCCCCGTTCCAGTAAACGGGGGCAGACTCGCCTCCCTTCCCTTTACGGCTTTTTGCTAACTCCGTCCGGTTTTACCTCTAAGTCTCAGGCTTCTAACCCGTGACCGGCCGTCCGGATCTGACACCACCGACCGGCTGCGCGTCACCGGCCACGTGAGCCTTCCCTCTTTTCGAGTCCTTCCGTACGGTTCGCGCTCGCGTGGGTTACCCAGCGTCGCGCGCTCCCTTACCTCTAACCCCCCTCGTTCCGAGTGGTCGGGACGAAGGTAGTTATACCACATTTTGGTACTCTTGTGGAGGGGATAACTACAGAGGTTGAGCCCGCACTGGATCGCCAGCGCGAGCAATTACCGATCGGATTGAAAGAGGTCGAAAATCACCGCGTCGATCGCCAGTGATCATCGACGATGAACCGTGCGGATTCCGCCGGAGAAGATACCGCCTCCGGGCGAGCAAGTACCCGCAGTGGCAGAGGCGCACAGCGCCCCCGGATCGACAATCCGGAAGCCCTGCTACGCCCGCCGTCTACCAGGGGCCAGAAGACCCCTTCCGTTTCGGACACCACCGCCGGGCTACCGGCTGGTGGGGGAAACCGCGTACAAGTACTGTACGACGCGTTACTCCCGCGATTACAAACCTGGATGGAGGAATTCCTCGCTGAGGAATTACCCCAGGTCGTCCAGGTTTGCCTCGACCGAACGGTACCCGGGCTGGTGGCGGAGCAAGCGGACGCCGCGCTCCGCGCCCTGCTGGACGAGAAGATCGCCCCCCTCGTACGCGACGAGGTGGTGGCCGCGCTCGCCGCAGAGGAGGACGAATCTCCCACCGCAATGGCTCTAAAGGGAGCTATTAGCTCCGCCGTGGCCATTCGTCTGGCCACGACATTTACAACCGAAACGCGCGGTACCGCCGCCGGCGCCGCGCCGTGAAACCGTTCCGGGCTCAAGCTTTAATATCGCTGATCCGATCGGCGCCGTACCCGGGATTGATAGGATGGACCCTCACCCGGAGGGCAGAGCCATCTATCTCCCAACCGTTCACGGTGCTACAGGGAGGACCACAGAAAATGTCCTCCCCATACTCGCCGGTACGGGCGACCCCCGCGGGACAGACAACCGCCTGGGGCTCCCCGAGACAGAGAATCGGGACCCGTACCGGTTGAGCAGAAGACGTGCACCCGGCACGCACAGGACCGAAGCGGAATACACCCGGTATTCCGACGCAGAAGACCCCCGTCACAGGACGGATGAAGACCGCGAGGAACGCCGCTGGCGATACCGCGATAACCGCGAGGCACGCCACGGGCGATACCGCGATGCCGGAGGGGGAGGATACCCCTCCGATGATGACCCATCCGGTTCGGAAGGCTCTCGCAGGCGGAGCCACAGGGCACGCCGCGATAGAAGCCGAGACCGGCACCGGCACGACCCGTCCGACTCGGAAGACTACCACACCGAGTCGGACGAGGGGCCTCGTCACTCGAGCAGACGCCGCCGGGCTGCCCCGACGAGCGACGAGCGACGGCCCACGGTAATCAGGCCCCTCAATGACCTGTTTACCAAGGCCGTCAACTACAAGACCTACCGCCTGGAACGGCGTAGCTCGCGCTACGACTCCACAGTAGCGCGGCACATTAACCGTTACCGGAAAAAACTGGACGTGCAGATGAGGTCCCACACGTTCAGCGGTCAAGATCCGATTGCGGTATTGGGATTCCTCGCACGCCTCAAGATGGCGTGCGACCACAACGGGATCACCGAGGGAGCCGCCGTGTGGTGCTTCCAATTCTACCTCACCGGTCAGGCTCACGCCCTACTCCAGTCCCGTCTCAATGGAAATACCATGGCGGTTGACGTGGAGCGGCGCGAGCTGCTCCGGACATACCCCCAGGTGGTCAACTTTCTGTTGCGCACCTATGCTACCGACGAGGTAATTTCCGAAGCGGTTGGGGACGTGACCTCCTTCCGTCAGAGTTCAAACATGACAGAGGAGGTCTACAGTAACCACCTCTGGGACAAGGCCCTCCAATGCGGTACGGTGTTCTCCGACCGGCGGTTGAAGTCCCTATTTGTCGAGGGGTTACTTCCCGCCACGT